TTAAGAATTCATTGTCGAGTAGATTTTGACGACAGCGCTTTGATACTCAAAATCACAACAGATCAAAACCAGTAAAGAATCCGTCAAACTGCTGGTACCGCCTTCTTCTAACGCCTCTGCTGCCCAGAACCAACTCACGTCTCCCCTCTGTGCAGACAGCCGGCAACCCCAAGATGAGTCAGCGATCCTTTAAAAACACAAGCGCGATAACAAGCAGCAAAGGGAGGTAAATAAAGGTAATTAAGTGGGTTTTATATTTCAATAATTCATCTCAAACAGGACGACATTTCAAGGGTATTGAAGCTGCCAGGTGCTGATGGAGCTCTGTGGAGGTCATTAATGTGGACCGTTATGAGGCGCATGTCACCAGGTGCTCACTAGTGGCTTTTTACAGTAATGCTTTGTGGACAACAATGGAGATTTGTGGCACAAAGGAATAAGATATAAACCTAAACTACACAGAATACTTGTTAGTAGGATCAATTTGTTTGCTTATTTTGGTCTTTTCAAGGGAAGTACAATAATATAATCAGCTGACTTATCCTCTTAAATGTGCTCCTGCGGGCTTTAGCGAGCAGCTGTGTCAGACTTTCCACGACTAAGGCGTACTTCTGCTGAGGTGTGAACTCGGGTGGGCTCCGGAAGTCTCAGGTCCACCTCAAAGCATCAATCTCTCAGTCTGCAACAAAAGTGAACGCCAACCACTCTACCCACATACAGACTTGAAACTAGAGATTGAGACCATGAACTCATGTTTACAATGTTTACTGAGGTAATAAATCAAGAGAGAAGTAGAGTCATTTTTCTTTTCGTAACGTGTCTGTTCGCCCCCTGCTGGCCATTAGAAGAGTTACAGGTTCAAGACGCTTCCACAAGCAGAGGTTGCCGCCTGATTTAAAATTGACTTCGATCAGAACCTATTCTTTCTTCAATATTCAGACTCGAGTGTCTTTGACCAGTGACACTTCCGGGTGCTAAACACCGGCAGCATTAAGGGGTTCTCTGGGACCAGGCACGGACTAAAAATACATGCAAGCACTTGGGTTGGATGTAAGTGCAAAGCAGAAAGCTCGTTATGGCAGCGAGGAGATCTCTCAGGGGATCAGAGAATGTTCTGGGACATCAGGCCTCGGTGCCGCGCTGACTATTTTTTTTTTTTTTTTTTTTTATAAAAGGCGCCACAGCGCGCCAACGAGTGGTCAGTGTGCTTGGGGACTAGTTTTATTCCTGTTACTTTAATGTACCCATCAAAAAGAAAAGAAGATCTGGTCCCACAACAAAGAGCTGGATCCCACTTCACTGCCAGACTGAGATATGAACACTTGGCTGAAAAGGACATTAAAGAGTTATTTCATAATTTTGATGTTGTTGAATTATATATTAGAGTACAACTCATTCCTCTAAGACACGTTACACTGTGTAGGTTAAGTCTCACTGTCATATGCACCTTTGCTGAACACTGGCTTCATAAACCAGACAAACTACTTCGAAAACATACAAACAAACTTTTACTTTTTTCTTTTTGAAGGAGCTCCAAAACTACTTGGGCGAGAGAAAGATGTAGGCTAGATGATGTCAAAAGTTAGACTTCAAAAATGGCCACGACAGCAATATCTCCATGACAAATTTGTCCCACTGGGCAATGTTCAGAAAGTTGCATTTTATGATCGCTCTTTCAGCTTCCTCCATGCAGCACTTTGGACTTATGTAGCCAGGAAATTTGTCATTCAGGTCACTTTTACTTCAAAGGATGCTCGCTTAGCAGCCGCCAAGTTTTAAATTAAAAACGTGACAGTTTGAGTGAAAAAATGAAAAAGCGCACAAATACATTTTCTTTGCATTTCCAAAAATATTTTGGAATTTTTTTTTTTTTTTTTTATACATTCTCAGGGGATTTTCCAGGCCTGGAAGAAAACATTTAATTTGCACAACTAGAGACACAATTCTGTTTGTATGACAGTCATGGAAAGGTTCCTGACTTGAGTTTAAAACGGGGGTAAAAAGAAGCGTTGATTCAACACAACGAGCCGAAGGTGAGAAGCTGCTGGACAGCTGGACGTGAATATGTGAGTGCATTTTACTGTTACTGCTGATGTCTAATGCATCGGTTGTTTTGTTTTTGCGGCTGGAGAATGCTTGTGGGGGAATCTTTGCTGGTGCTGCAGATAACGGGACGGCACCACCTTCATCTGTCCCCACAGGGGAACATGGCACGGAGTGAGAAAGCACCGAGAGCGAAGGAAGAGTGAGATTAAGACGCAGAGAAAGAGAAAGTCGGGAGTGAAGAAGAGCAAACAATTTCCACGTTAATTAGCATCCCTCTCCTCCCCCGCAAAACACAAACAATGCGGCGCTCCAAAGAACCAGAAGCAAACAGGGACAAGGCTGCGAGCTCGCTAACTTTAGGTCTGCTCATCTGTGCTAAATCAGTGGCAGGCAGCACACACATCAACACACACAGAAAATAAGACTGAGCTGTGGGATTAAGAGCAAATCAGAGAGAGAGGTGGGAGGCTGGGAGGAAAGAAAACAGAGGAGAGGAAGAGAGGGCGATGGAACAAGGGAGACTGACGGAAGGAGGGAAGCGAGGGACAGAAGAGTGGAGGAAGGCAGAACAGAAGGAGGAGATGAAAGGACAGTGAGAGGAGAGCATGAGGGGGAGGGAAATAAGGAGGATGGGAGAGACAAAAAGAGGAGAGAGGGAGGGAGAAGGAAGGAGGAGGGATGCAAAAATGATGAGTGAAGGAGGGATGGAAAAAGAGAGGGAGAGGAGAAAGTAAACAGAAGGGGGAGATGGTGAAGAGACAACAGAAAAGAAAGGAAGAAGGGAAGGCAATAAAAAAGGTAAGGAGGTAAAGAGAAAGGTGGAGAGAGAGAGAGAGAGAGAGAGGGGTCGTTGTGTTTGTGCGTTGCTGTGATGCCTGCTTTGCTGCACACAGCTATAGTCGCAGGTTGCACGCTCCGAATGCTGACATGCAAACATTCAGATGCTGACGCGTGCGTATGAACATACGAGCATCATGAGCGAGCAACTGCAGGCTCTGCATTTATCTGCAGAGGGAGCGAAGGCGGCACGTGTAGACCCGCAGCTATTACAGCTGAACAACAACCAAAAACAACAACAAATAACCATCAAGAGTGGACGGTGATTTAGTCAATCGATGCTGAAACATACGGTTATTAAACATGATTGTATCGGCAAAAAAAAATAAAAAATCTTTGAAATCAACCCCATCAGAGCTGTCTCTACCTGTACTATACACTATATATACTATACACATATATACATACATATACTGTATATGGCGGCTGGATCAATAAAAGCTGAAAGAGCCGGCAATTCTTTCAGGACATTGTGGAGATGAAAACGTCCTACATTTCTCCTCTGAGTTCTAGGCGACACGCAAACACACTCACAGGATACACAGCAGAAAGAGACGCACACATGCATCAAACACACTCACAGGATACACAGCAGAAAGAGACGCACACATGCATCAAACACACTCACAGGATACACAGCAGAAAGAGACACACACATGCATCAAACACACTAGTGTACCCAATTTGTGGTGCCTCACATTTTAAAAGAAAGAAGAAAAAAAAAATCAATAACACATCAGAGCAGTTCCTGAGGTTCAGGCATTCATCACAGCTCAACACATGCACACGTGTTCAGCACCGACCAGCAGAACCAGCGCCTCCATCTTCAGAAAGCAACACGTTGCTCTGACAAGGATCCTTGAGAAATGCATTTTAAATCCCCCTCGAGATGCAAAGCAACTGTCTGTCAGTGTGAACCACGGAGGAATGTGTGCAAAGCTAAAATGACATCAAATACATTTTCCATCTCCTTTCCATGATGTGGAACCGTGGGTTTGAATATTTCATCTGCTGAATAAATAAATACAGAATATAGTGTCTATGTGACACTGTCATACGTGGTCGACTTCAAAAGCTGTAAGCAGTAGCTGACTATCTTAGTTTTGCTAAACGCCAGTGCTTCTTAACTTCTCACGCTAACTTGTTGCTCTCGCTACCAATATTAGCCTCTCAGTTGGGCTGAAAGGAAACGTGCATGTCGGTGTGGTGAACCCTGTGTGGAGCTGCAGAGACCTAAACCAAGTAAGAGTAGAAGAGCTATGGGTAAGGAAACGTCTGCTAGCCGCCAAGCTAATCCATGCACTGTAACATGCCACAGGCATTCATTGCCCTGTCTGAGAGCTGCTATGTGAAAAAGGTATTTGTGTGAATTAATGCACACTTGTAATACTACGCAGAAAGATTCAAGTATTTATAAATTATTCTGGAGGCACTTTCTAAATAATAAGGTCGGTTTAGATGCATCCGACTGCTTCAGTAACTGGTGGAAAAGTAGCAAATATAGAAAATGGATGCTAAATATGGAGATACCTCGAGAACCGTTGACAGGTGAATCTTAATCACTAGCTTCACACCTCTACTGCGCAGCCTGAGAGCCTGAGATGGGGCCGCGCTCTTCCAACATGCTACATAAAGGAAAAGCTACTTTCTGCTTTGGCACTAAAAAGGTTGGTGATGTAGAAGATTGTGTACAAAATTATAATGTGCTGCCCAGTTAAACGGGAATGAAGTCCCAAGGGATGTGGGAACACATTCATTCACATATCAGAGCAGGTTGTTTCTTTGTTCACCTGCAGCTATTAAAAGTAGGCGTAGCTGCTTGTGTGTGCATGAACGCTCGAGTAGAATAAGAGTTGCATCCTTCACAGATAATGTAGTTTTTGTGTTTTTTCTTATGCATCAAATTTGGGACTGCATTTCATTGCTCAGCCCTGTCGAACGATGACAATAAATGAACTTTGTGTGCATGGCGACAACTAACCAGCTCCTTTAAACCAGTGAGCTGCAGTGCTTCTTCACAGTAATGGCTGGTGCACACAGGCACAGCGGAGCTTCAACATAAACACATCTGTGGTGTGGAGTAAGTGAATTGACAGGGGGGGGGGGGGGCTGCTCACCTGAAGAACGTGACAAAGAACTGCACCAGATCCATGAAGTTACTGTGCTGCGAGAAGGCGATCTGCAAAAGGGAAAGAAAGGGACAGAAGGCCTCGTCAGAAATACACTTTAATAAGCGTTATGCACTCATAACACTCATACACATGCGAGCTTCAGAGTGGAGTCCACCTTGTGGAGCTGACAAAAGGCCCGCGGTCGAGCAGGAGAGACAATGCGTGTGTTTTTATGTTGTAGATCATATATGTATATTCATGACACTATGTTGTCAACCTCTGACTTTACTTGCATATTTCATAGTGTGTGTTTTTCTAGTGGTTCACCAGTTGAAAGCCAGAGTCAAGATAAGCGACTTTCTTCCTTATGGTGCTCCTTATTCTCGACTACGTGGAGGTTCTCAGTGCGTCAGCTTATCCGTGGTTCAGACTGCACGCCTGACAAAGCAACGACACGGCAGCAGCCGGGCCTCTCAGCTGCCCACAGTCTGTGCAGCGGGGGGGGGGGGAATATGAAAAATGTCATTGCTGCACATGTGGGCAGAAATATTCACTATGTAATCATCACAAGAGCAATTGTACTGACGGTATCCTGTCTTAATCAAGGTTGCCAGGGGTAACGTTGGCAGTGCAGTACCTCCCCCCCCCCCTGGAAATGTCTCGCCACGACCATATCCCTGCAACAACACGCCACTGCCTCTCTCTGGTGGCATCAGGGTGCTGCACCTCCAGACCAAGCAGCAGAATTCCACTCACACATCTTCTCTTCGAGGTGACACCTCGGACCAGAACTTATCTTCGCTCCTGCTTATTATTCCTCAGCAAAGCGGGGATTTGCATACAATTCCAGTGCAAGAAAATAAAGAGCGGAATGGAGGCCCAAAAGCTGGTAAACGCAGCAGTGTGTGTCAGATTAGTATATGAATACTTAATGTGATCAGGAAGTACAATACATGCAGAGAGAGACTTGATGGGTGTGTAAAGCTACAGCGACGTTACACAAGAGCAACGCGGGGCCAAAGGCAGGGGCCTCTGTGGAGAGATGAGGGGGGGGGGGGGTTGTGACCGGCTGGGTCTAATTTACTGGTGTAGTCAGCACCATCTGGATCGCTAATGTGTTGCTGTTGATTACTGTTGAGCGCCAAATCCTCAGTGTGATCATTTTTCTCCAGACTGTTGAACACTGAAGAGAAGTTCAGGAGCAACACACCCAAAGAAAACTTTGCAAAGATGTCAGCGGTCTGGCAGTTGATCCCCTGGGACCGCAGTGGACGGAGCGTGGCGCTAATATGCCAAATATGAAGTATTGAAGCTCCCTTAATATTTTGATTAGTTGCTTATACTACAAAAAGTCTTTATCGAAAGAATGCCCTCTCTCTTTGGGATGCCGATGTATTGGGGTATTTTAGGATCTTGATATGTTGGTCTCATCAAGTTATTGTTTCTGATTTAGTCTTAGTCTCTTTAATGCTTTAAACAGCTCTTGAGTTATTTTAGGGGAACTTCACACGTCGCGTTTTTAGCACCCTCAAATCCATTATTTCCAATGTAGACGTGGGGAAGGAGCGCAAAGCAAGAACGACTTAAAACTGCTCATTATGTCCAACTAGCTGTTCAATTCTCAAATATAACCAATTTATAGTGATACGAAGCAGAGAAAAGCAGAAAATCCTCACATTTTGCGAGGCAGGAACCGGCAAGTTCTTGCAATTTTGCTTGTTGAGTGCCGTAAAGACTGATCTACTCACCACTTTAGCACCAATGCTACCTGGGAGGCACAGAAAACACACAGTCCCTGTACCTCCACAAAGCACTGGAGAACTTTTTGGAAATAAGTTTCTAAGGTGCAAATTAGGAACATGCGATGAATAGAAAATGGTTTGGAGGGAATATCTCACTTCCTGTGCTCATGAATGTAAAAATGAAAGGATTTAGAGAACAACTATCAAAGATTGTGTGAAGCTCTGAGAGGCAGGAATCTTAGAATCGCCACAGAAGCCTCGTCAGCTGGTTCGCTTTGTGACAGCGGCCGATCAAAGCCGTCTACTCCTCCAGTGGTTCCAGATACATGAAGTCATTCTCTCTTCTAATGACACAATAGTCTCCTTCAAGGCCAATGCCGACTTCCTCAACACACTCAATGACATGTGCTTCATGTCATCACAGCATAACTTATTAACATTATCGTAGCAGCTAATCTCAAGTGTCAGCGGTGTGCTTTGTCACCGAGAGGCAGGCCGATGGGGGCGGCGAGATGTGCCGCAAAGGATCTCGCAGCAGGTCCCGTCAGCCGGCCGCCGGGCGTCATGAACGCAACATCTTCTGCTTCTAATGGCTTCTGACAGCTACGTTGGAGTTTTGAAGGAAAGCTTCGTTGACGGTGGGAGGGAGGGCCGCTCAACAGGTTCCACAAAAATAAACAAAAGGACGGGACAGAAGGAAAGGGAATAATACGGTGGAGCCGGATGATGTGTGCGTGATCTGTAAGTGCCATCGAGTAATGTTTCACAGAACATTCCTTCTTTATAGTTTGATTGTGACAACAGAAAGAACACTGCTCAAGCTACGGGGTACATGCAGATACAGTTTTATCCTTTATTATGTTTACTATTTTAACATGTTCAGCCATGCTAGTGCTGTGGCTCTGCGGCCAAATCAGTGTCTGTAATTCCACCACTTTGGTCGAGACTGACATTTGGTTCAACTCTGTACAGACATTCATGGTTTCATGATGTATCCGTCTGACTCTGGTGATCCTCTGACTTGTCTTCTAGCGTCATCGTGGGGTTCAGACTTCTGTTTATTAGTTAAATGCAACAACAGCTATTGGATGGATTAATCCCATTAATTTGATATAATATGCATATTATCTTTGTATTGTCTCATGTGTCTGCATAAACTCTGAATCTACCGTTTAAATAATAAGCAGCCGCTGTTGCACGCTGGCAAAACCGCTCAGTCTGTTTTCTACACTCGGTGTGTGATCAGTATCAAAACGCACCCATCAGGCAGCCGTGCGTGGCCCAGATAAACACTCCACGAGTCCACACACAGACGCAGAGCGGCCCGGCCAGCTGATAGCTACAGCTGCTGCTACTCCACAGCAGGGCATTCAATTGGAGGCTGTTGTAATCTCTACCATATCATGACATGTTCACTAAGGCACGGAACAGGAGATCACAGCTCTTTAATGTAATTAGTCTGGGATTTGCGTTTCATTACAAACAATCATTAAATTCAGATCCATTCTTCATCAGGAGAGAGGGAGAAATAAAAAGATAAAAGAGGGGTGGGAGAACTCCTCGCTGACTAATCTGGCTGCTTTGATGTTGCGAGCTGTTTAACGGTAATGAAGCCATCACAGAATACACGTTGACCATCGTAAAAGATCTCCATTGTGGGTCAAATGACTATATGTAAGTGTTATTCCTCTAATCAAACATCTGTGTTTCGTAGTTTCGTAAATTAAATCCGATCGGTAGCAAATATGTGAAAATTATTCCAAGAAGTTGGGGGGGGGGGGGGGGGGGG